TTTTCCATGAATGACCAGAAGTTATTGTAAGTCAGGGCTGAGGTTGCAATGTCTGGAGCTTCTGCTCTTGGGGGACTGAACCTCCTTCCCTGATCCCTTGCCAGCGCTATGACCCTTTTTTCTGTTACTTCTTCCTCAACAAATGGGTGTTATCCTGCAAGGTGATGATGAGGATTAAGTGGGAAAATCGTCGAGGGCTTATCACAGAGCCTAACACCAAGAAATGTTTCATAAGTATTAGCTGCTTCCTTAATTATTATTATCATTAGAAGGTTGGAGTGGAGTGAAAGTTTTCTTTGCTCGTGCTAATCCATAAGCCCACCCCCTAAAACTTGATAGAGGTGCTTCTCTGTCTCAGTGGAGTGCTGGCTTTGTTTCTCGGTCCACAGTCTTCCAAGTTGGCCATCAGTCTTCCCAACAGCCTAAATGAGGCAAAGCCTCCTCTCCTATTTATATTATAAATCTCTTCCTTCCTTGCAGGGGAAGCAGAGTACATATTAAACTGCACTTAAGTTCATCACAGCATCAGCGCTGCTTAGACTCTGGAGGGTGGGTGTGTCCTGGGAGCAGAGATTGATCTTCTAAACCAATGGAGGATTGTGTGTGTGTGTGTGTGTGTGTGTGTGTGTGTGTGTGTGTGTGTGTGTGTGTTTGAGACTTCATTTAGCTGTGTTGAGGGGTTTATCTAACTGGCAGTTCCGGAAGTGGTTTTTCTTTGTCAGCCAAATGAATTCAGCCCCCTGTGGAGGGTCCCTGCTAATGGGGAGGGGAGGCCATGAAGCCTGAGAAGGTCTGAGCCCCAGCTTCTTAGCCAGCAGCTAGTTTTTGCTGAGCTAGCTAGTGGCCAGAAGGAATCTATATCTGGGTTATGATAGGAAATTTATGTTTAATTTTTTTAAATTAGGAAAAATATTTTTTCTTTCAATTACAGTTAGTTTCAGGTGTACAGCATAGTGATTAAACATTTGTGTACCTTACAAAATGATCACCCTGGTAAATCTGGTACCAACTGACACCATCTATAGTCATTACAATATCATTTACTATCTTCCCTATGCCAAACTTCACATTCCTGGGACTGTTCTTATAACTCACAGTTTATACTTTTAAATCTCCCTTTTTTTTCAGAAACCTCCCTTCCATCTGGTAACTGTCAATTTGTTCTCTGAATATTGAGTTTTTGGTGTTTTGGGTTTTTTTCCATTTATTTTTGTGGGTTTTTTTTTTAAGTTTTTTTTTTTTTAGATTCCACATGTAAATGAAATCATATGGTATCTGTTTTAGTCTGACTTATTTCACTTACACCTTCTAGGTCCATCCAGGTTGTCACAAATGTAAGATTTCATTTTTATGGCTGAGTAATATTCCACTGTGCATATATGTACCATATCTTTATCCATTTGTCTGTCAGTGAACATTGAGGTTGCTTCCATACCTTGGCTTTTGTAAATAATGCTGCAGTGACTATAGGGGTGCACATGTCTTTTTGAAAACTAGTGTTCTGGGTTTCAGGGAAGATGCGTTTTAGAATATGCCTGCTGGAGCCATCTTGCATACAGCCTGTCCCAAGAGAGCTGAGTCATTGTGGACCAGGCTCCACCTCTATGTCTGGCCCTAAATGCAGGCCCAGATGTTGACAGCTGCCTCTGGAAGGTGATAGGAGCCTTCTATAGGCCAATATCCCCATTCCCTGCAGGCCCTGTTCTCATCCTGCCTTCCTGGTGGGACTTTTCCATGGGACTTTTTCAGTGAATCTGTCTTCTGATTGCAGACAGAGCCTGTTAAAATCTCTGGGCATTGCTCGTGCCTTTTGCTTTATCCACAGAAATTTTGTGTGTGTGTGTGTGTGTGTGTGTGTGTGTGTGTTTAAAATGTATTTTTATTGATTTCAGAGACCAAGGGAGAGAGAAACATCAATGATGAGAATTATTGATTGGCTACCTCCTGCTTGGGATCGAGCCCGCAACCTGACCAAAATCGAACCCGGGACCCTCAGTCCGCAGGCCAATGCTCTATCCACTAAGCCAAACCAGCTAGAGCAGGAAAATGGTTGTTTTTTTAAAACCACAGGACTAGAATTGGGCAAAGGAGAGTGAATTATCTGCTTGGGGGAGGACGTACCCCTCCTTCTTCCCATTGCATGGCGAGTCCCAATCCAGTTCTAAGAGACAAAAGCCCAACGACATGGGGCAATACAGCCTTCAAGCCACCGCTGACATTTTGTTGACAGGACCCTGAGTATTCACGACCTTCTGGAATAAGGGAATTGAGTTGTCTTTATCTGGGTGGAGGGTTCTAGCTGAGGCACCTCTTGGCTGGCTCCAGAGAGTCTCACCTGTGCCCCTGTCAGCCTTTTCCATTCTTAACCTCATCACCCTTTCCTCCAAGCGAAGGACGTGGGGCTCTTTTGTTGACCCCAAACCCATTTGTTCTAGATGCAAGGCTCTGGGACCCCTGCAAAAGGGTACATGGGCTGAGGTAGCATTCCCTGAAGTTCCTCCTCCCCCAGGCCAGCCTGATCCTTGGAAAACTCTCCATCGATGCTTATTTGCCATCCCCCACCTGCAGCCTTGACCACAGGAGGCCGCCTTGGCAAAGGACTATGTGGTGGCAGACCTGCCAGACACTCAGGGCTAACTGCCATGAGGAAGTCTTCCATTTGAAGATGATGCTCTCTTTTCATCTGGAGAGAACACGAAGGCAGGAAGCAGGCAGGCTTTCCAACACAGGAGAAGCCATGCACAGAAATACCAGCATCTTATACGTAGGAAGACCGTGGGAGCTGAGCCAGTAGTTCATGCCCCATGCGGATGGGAAAGATCAGTGGAACGCTGAACCTTGTAGAAAAGGCTCCCCCCACCCCACTTGTATTTGGCAGTGCAGATGATGTACAGATGAGAAACCTGTGGGTCAGCTCCCTTTCATCCCAACCCCTCTGTGAACTTTGCATCTAGGCTAGCTCTCTATTTCCGGTGGGCTGGAAAGTATCTAAGGAAGCCCTTCCCCAACCGTTTAACCATTGCTGATCAAACCATTGTTTCCAAGAAAGGGAAATACAATGCTGCTGAGTTGCTCTGAATGCCTTTTCTTATTTCCTCTTCATTCCTTACTATAGACATTGAGAAGTATGGATGAGTCATCCGGGCAAAGGTGTCATTCTCCTGTAATTGGAATATTGCGATGGACCGACTGGGTCCCAAGTCTGAAGCCATTGGGGAAGTGGAAACCTATTCATCCACATCCCCTCTTAGGCATCACCTTTGAGAGAAGATGAACCTAACAGCTGAGGCGCAGGATCTGCTCTCCTAATTAGAACATCATTAGCATCATGAAAAAGCATTTCCCGAAACCCCACCCGTAACACATTACTCCAGTGCCCACCCCCTTTTAAAAAAAAAAAAAAAAAAGATGATTATATCTCCCTTCTCTCTGCACACTCTGTTTTGTCTCCCACCCCCCAGTGGAATCTTCCCAGAGTCTAATCTTTCTCTTGGATTCCAAATCATGTCCCCTTTGGGCAGAGGTCTTGGCCTTCTGCTGCTATTTCTTTAAATTGATCTCCAGCCGAATTCCGAATGTAAAGGTCAGCAGGCGAGGAAATGGCACTTCTAATAGAAAACAATGTGCACTTTCTAAATTTGAACCAAGCCGTTTCCGCTCTTTGATTTAAGTGACTTCCTGGGGTTCTGTGTCAGGCACTGCAGTTGAATCTCTGGCAGGATTCCAACTTAAAATTGCACTCTCTCGGTGAAATTAGAAACTGATCCAGGCTTGGCTTAGCTATTCTAGTAAATAGCATTTAGGCTGACTGTTCAGCTCAGCACTTGGAAAATGGGCGATGCGAGTGCCCCCGGAGAGGATTTCCCATCCACGTTGTCAGAAGCTCACCTACCCCTGGCTTATGAGCTGCCGGAGGTTGCCGCTCTTAGAAGTGCTGGTAATAAGTTAATATCCTGGACGTGCGGGCATCTGATACGGCCCTTCCTTCTCTTGTGACTCTGAAAGAAAGGCTTGTGTTTATCCAGCTGATAAACTTGATGGGAGCACACAGGGCTGTCTCGTGGTCACCACATCCTCAGCACAATGCTTGGCGCGTTGTGCGTATTGGCGTTCAGGAAATCCACGCCGTTGCTCTCGGGGATGGGGATAAGTTACAGAGCACTTGCCAGGCAAGATGTTAGGTACTGGGTGTCCACGTTCTCATTTAATCCTCACAGGAACCCGTTTTACAGTTGGCAAAACTAAGGCACAGAGGTCAAAGAACCTCATTCATGGCAACACTGTTAGGCACAGAAGAGAGGATTTGAACTGGGAGATCTGATTCCATAGCCTGTGTTTATCACCACTGAGCCATCTGTCTTAAATGAGGAGCATGGTTCGCAAGGACTACAGGAATGAACTCAGGTTTGCTTCCTGGTTCTGCTACTTGGTCATTTTGTGTGACTACGGACCAATTAGTTTGAACATTAGTTTCCTGGGACTAGAAAAGGAATAACAGTCAGTGACTTGATATTAACGCTGCTTGTTAAGAGCTAAATAAGTGTAATTCCTACCACTTAACCATGACTGTTGTCATTTTTTAAAAAAATATATTTAATTGACTTTTTTACAGAGAGGAAGGGAGAGGGATAGAGAGTTAGAAACATCGATGAGAGAGAAACATCGATCAGCTGCCTCCTGTACACTCCCCACTGGGGATGTGCCTGCAATCAAGGTACATGCCATTGACCGGAATCGAACCTGGGACCCTTGAGTCCAAAGGCCAATGCTCTATCCACTGAGCCAAATCGGTTAGGGCGTGTTGTCATTATTAATTAGCCTTAATTCTGGAGAACCCACCCAAGGAAACCAGTTGCCATTTCATTTTGGCTCCCAAGCACCTGATGGGGATGAGGGTACTAACAGGCCAAACACTGACGCCTGGAATTCATTTTCTTCCTCCCCCACCCCCAGGGCCCCTAGAAGCCTGCTTCTCAGTGCTGCCCAAGACCTCCAGCCCCATGGAGCCCCCGATCCCACAGGCCGCCCCCTTGACTCCCAGCTCAGTCATGGTCCAGCCCCTTCTCGACAGCCGCGTGCCCCACAGCCGGCTCCAGCACCCGCTCACCATCCTCCCCATCGACCAGATGAAGACCAGCCACGTGGAGAACGACTACATCGACAATCCCAGCCTGGCGCCCGCCGCCGGCCCCAAGCGGACCCGGGCGGGGGCCCCGGAGCCGGCCTCCACGCCTGCGCGCTGTGACCAGGACGTCACCCACCACTGGATCTCCTTCAGCGGCCGCCCCAGCTCCGTGAGCAGCAGCAGCAGCACGTCCTCCGACCAGCGGCTCCTCGACCACATGGCGCCGCCCCCCGTGGCCGACCAGGCCTCCCCGAGGGCCGTGCGCATCCAGCCCAAGGCCATCCACTGCAAGCCGCTGGACCTCAAGGGCCCGGCGGCGCCCCCGGAGCTGGACAAGCACTTCCTGCTGTGCGAGGCCTGCGGCAAGTGCAAGTGCAAGGAGTGCGCCGCGCCCCGGACGCTGCCCTCGTGCTGGGTCTGCAACCAGGAGTGCCTGTGCTCCGCGCAGACCCTGGTCAACTACGGCACCTGCATGTGCCTGGTGCAGGGCGTCTTTTACCACTGCACCAACGAGGACGACGAGGGCTCCTGCGCCGACCACCCCTGCTCCTGCTCCCGTTCCAACTGCTGCGCCCGCTGGTCCTTCATGGGCGCCCTGTCCCTGGTGCTGCCCTGCCTGCTCTGCTACCTGCCCGCCACGGGCTGCGTGAAGCTGGCCCAACGCGGCTACGACCGCCTGCGCCGGCCCGGCTGCCGCTGCAAGCACACGAACAGCGTCATCTGCAAGTCGGCTGCCCCGGGTGATGCTCAGGCCGGCAGGCCCGACAAGCCTTTCTGACGTCAGGGCCCAAGCCGGCCCCTGCGCTCCCCTGGGAACCGGGTTCCCTCCTGACACCTGAGAAGACTGCAGCAGCGAGGCCAGAGGTTCTGTTCTGGCCGCAGAGGTGACCTTGCCAGGCTGCCACCCCAGCTTCGGAAGAAAACAGAGACCCCCACCCCCCAACCCCCACTGTCTTCCTTTCCCAAGAGGAAGAAGTGGCACTTTGGGGTGTTTTTGCAGGTCCTGGAACTTTGTGTGAAACGGACAGTGGCAGGAGCATGGTGTGCTTTGGGGGCGGGGAAAAGGAGGGGAGGATTTTTCTTTTCCAAAAGACAGATGTGGCCACATAGCCGGAAGTTGCAGCTGCTTGACTGCCTTCCCGGTTCTCCCTCCTCCCTTCCTCCCTACCCCCCTCTTTCTTTTTAGCTGCCTGGGAGGGACCGGGAACAGTGGCCAGGGGACCTCTGAAGACAACCATACAGTCTTGATGGCTGTGTCTTTTCTCCTCGCCTGGCATCCTGGGGAAGGTGTAGGCCCCGGCTGGCAGTCCCTGTTGTATATACACGAGGGAGCCCTCAAGAAGAGAAGGACGGCCAGCGAGTCCAGGCCTCGCTCCTCTCGCTGTCTCCGGAGCCACGGATGGACTCAGGAGCCGCTACGCAGAGCACCTCTCCCTCCCAGCTCCATCGCCCGTGGGGTTGTTGCGCTCTTAACACCGCCCTCCCGGTCTTACTGAGTCACAGGCTCGCCTGCCTGCTTCTTGTCCCGAGCTCTCTCCACCCAGATCCTTCCCAGAAACTTGATGGGTCGAGAAGGCCAGGGCGGCAAACGCAAGACCAAATATCACTTTGCCAATGAGTCTGAGGCCGTGGCCTCCGGGCTCAGTCGTCGTGTTTTTATAGAATAATTAAACCAGATGCTAGCGGTGTTTTAGGAAACAATAAACACTTGCTTCCTTTTGGGCCACCCCCAGGAAGGGCTGATTTCAAAATGGGGGGGGGGAGGGGAAGCCACCTGAAGGAACACAAACCCCCTCCCCACCATGAAGAGGATTTTAACAGCAAAGAAGAGGAGGCAGCACCTCGTGTTGATGGGGGGAGGACAGTGGAGCTGAGATGGGTGCCGGTTTCTTCTCTTCCGATTCCGCTGCTTGCTGTCATAGCCTTTTATGTACAGTGATGTGTCAGTATCTCTCATGTAAATAGATGGCTGATGGGAAGAGAGTCTATTTTCGTGTCAGGAAGCCCTGGTGGGGGAGTCGGAGGAAGGCAGGTGGGGGAGAGTTTCTCCAGGGGCTTCTCGGGGTTGAGCCCTGCTTCCGTGCATGGCCCCACCCCCCGCCCCCAGCAGCCCCCCAAAGACGTAGCAACTCTTTCTCTCAAGGTGCTAAAGAACTCTGAGAGTGCAGCACGTCCAGTGGGTAGGTACTTGTTGCATGCAGACGCCGTCGTGTCTGGTCCTTCTCCCTCGTGTTGTGCAGGGTTCTTGCTTCATGTGGTATTTTGTGTCCCCCTCCCTACCCCATAAGAGGAAGTGCCTGGGTCAGAAAAGCCACCCCAGGCGAAATTGAAAGCGCAGTAGCATTTCCACTTTGTCCTGGAGGAACACCTATGCCTCCGGGAAGGATGCGAGGAGGCAGGTAGCTGTGATTGGGTGCACCCAGCGCTTCTCAAGAACTCCCCCCACTCCCTCCCCCCCCACCCCCCCACCCGGCCCTGGACTGAAGACTAGTAGTAACATCTTATGATTTAGAATAAGTTAATTGTAACCATAGGTATTTATTGATGGGAGGAAAGGAGGGGAGGGCCTTATTATTTTTTAAAAGGCTTTATTTATATATAATATTTGCTAGCTTGTAAAAGGCAAACAGGAAATACTGCATCTGAAGTTTTCTATGGCTGGTTCACGTAGCTACCCTTTGCCACAGTCGTTGATGGATGTATGGTTGTTCTTGCACAAATGGAGGGAACGGTAGGAAGGAAAAAACATATTCAGCCAACCACTTACGCTAATTGAATGTATCAGACGTGTACTGAAGGGACTGGAGAGGTTTTCCTCAGAAGAGGTTACCCCTAAACCCAGGGGGCACACCTCCACTTTTGGGGAGGCCTTGGAGCTTTCCCAGAGCCCTTCCCTCCGATGTCTCCATGGGGAACTTGACCCGGTGGCAAGTGGCACTTTGGTGATGGTGTTCTACACACCCATTCTGTGGAGAATTGATTTGTATAAGCTGTGTATACACACACACACACACACACACACACACACACACGCCTACCCCACCCACCCTCTGTCTATACAGACCCTGTTTCTGGCAAATGACCTCCTTGAACCTTGACTTTTTGTGTACATAGTTGTAAACACGGATTTTTCGGGATTTTGGATTTTTTTTCCTTTTTCTCCTCCCCTGTTTCGGCTTGTCCCTTTTAGTTTGCATTTAGCCTGCTAGGTGGATGTCTGCAGAGCTCTCGGTGTCCTGTGTGCTCGCGGGTGGAGGGAAGGAGTGGACAGCCCAGCCCCCCGCCCAGCTCTGTTGCACCGCAGCCCGTCAGCATGTTTTTTCTCGGCTTCTTGGAAAAACAAACAAGAAAACTGGCTTGCTGTGGACCAGTCGGGGGCCACCAAGGACCCAGCTCTTAGTAATAGGACATTTCTGGGGCCACTCTGGCTGGTCATGTTTCCTGTCACCCATGGCGTGCTTGGCTGGATCAATCCTCGTCTTGACCTCTTTTGAGAAATGCCAGTTAATTTCCACGTCTCTTCAGCCTGGAGTGGGTGGTGGTTCTGCCTGGAGTTGGATGGCACAAGCCTGGGTCCAGGACACTTGTCCTAGGGGCCTTGGTGCTCCCCGCACCCCAAGGGCGGCTTGTGGAAGCCCAGCGCTCCAGCAAGCGCCCTGTCAGTGGTCTGGGACAGCGAAGCCCTCTCACGTCCATGACTGCACAGCCACAGCTTCAACAGCTGGAAGGAGGCAGAGACCCGTTCCTCCTGACAGATGACTGCTCACCTGTCCTTTCGGCGTCTGAAGTCTGCGTGGGCCCGCGCTGTGCATGGCATGAGACCTGGACGGACAATGACTTGTCCCAGGCTGCACAGCATGGCGAGTGTTGGTTGGGACCAGCACCCAGAACCTTGTCACCTTGAAGCTTCATGTTCCACCCATGCTGCCCCAGGAGACACCTAGTGGGTGTGGGCAGCACCCCTTCACACTGTACAATTCAGTCCCCCAGGGCGTCCTGCCCGCATCCCCAGCCTTCCGGCTCATGCCTTCGGTGAGCGTTTTCATGCCCTGCTTACTTACTGTGACAGTTGGTGACCATTCCTGCGCTGCCATTCTCGCTGTGGGTAACTCCCGTGTGGTGTCTGATCTCGCTTTCGCTTCTCACTGCCGCAGTTCGGTTTCCTGTTACAAACGGGAAAGCTGTCCGAGGTCCCCATCCCACCGCACTTCCGACATATCCCTCCCCCCTCACTGTAGCCCCTTCTCACCCCACGTTACCACAGAAGGTCCCCTTTGTATAGAATATTTATTTTGAAGCTCTATTTTAATAGTATTTATTTTAGAAAGTCTACTATTGTAAGAGTTCTTCTGTTTGTGAAGAAAAAAACAAGTTAAAACTGAATGTACTGATTTAGAAAATATATATAAATATATATTGTTAAATATACACAGGACTGTTGTTTTCTTGTGTGTTTGTATGTTCATGCCCCTGCACCTCACCCAGTGAGGCGCCGCCGTGTTTGTCAAAGAGCACTCACCCAATGGGACTGCCCCCCCCCCCCCCTACTCAACTCTGGCAGAATAAAGGGGTCCTGGCTGGGCAATCCCTCACACCCTTGGAGGGAGCTTCTCTTGCTGAGGAGGCTGAGCTCTGCCAGGTGCTACTAATTCCTCCTCTGGGGAGCCCTCCCCCACGGACGAGTATTTGTAACAGATGGACAGCAAAATTCAAAGTACCCTGTTTCCCAAAAAATAAGACAGTGTCTGATATTAATTTTTGCTCCCAAAGATGCGTTAGGTCTTATTTTCAGGGGATGTCTTCTTTTTCCATGAAGAAGAATACGATACACATTTGTTGTTAAATGAAAATAAAGGAAGTTTTTTACCTGTATACAGTACGGTAGTACGGTAGTTGTCAACACAAACCAGACAAACTGAATCCTACAGTATCAAAAATTTACACATTTATTCAATGACAATCATGTCATCATCTTCAGGAACATCATAACAATCCAATTCCTGAATTTCCTGGTGAATTTCTTGTGACTCCATTTCTTTCAGAATCAGTAGACCAAGTCTCTCATGTTTAGCCTAGGGGGGCCTTATTTTCTGGGAGATGCCTTATATTTCACTCAGAAGGAAACCTGTAAGTAGGTCTTGTTTTTGGAGGATGTCTTATTTTCGGGGAAACACGGTAGGAAGTGGTGAGGTGGGGAAGGATGGCCTGCCCTACCCAGTTTACAAAAATACTGCGGCTTGTATGCCCTGGTGCCCCCCCAAATAGATGTTCATGTGCACACATGCTTTAAGAAGACAAACAGGCCCTTGGCAGCTTTCTTGATATTGAACAAAATATGTCATTTTGACCTCTAACTCCATCCATTGAATATCTTGCCTCTGTGCCCTCCGAATGCACTCTCCATGGGCTTCCCCACTACCCTGCACCCCCAGATATACTCAAACCTGGCAGAGGCCCCATCCCTTCTGAGAGGATGTGGCTGGGGGAACTTTTTTCATTACTTTCATTCATATGCCAATCACAATGAAAGTTTGGCTTTTATTTTGAACAAGTGAACACACGCCTCTTGTTTTCTGAATGAAAAGGAACTGAGCAGTAAATACTTTTTTTTTTTTTTTTTAAACCAATAAGTGGGGTCAGACAACTAACAATGGGGAGTGGAGGGAGAGAGGAGGTCAGGAGCCCTGAGTCCAGTTCTTTGTCTCTTTGAGGTCACCAGTTAGGGTGTCTTCCAGTTCTTTGTGAAAGCCTTGGGTTCCTCTTCGAGACATCTGCGCCCAATTCCAAGGATCCCCTGGCCACTGCCCAGGAAGGCACAAAGGATGTTCTTCCTCGATGTGGCCTCAGAATAAAGATTGGGGGCCGGCCTTCCTCTGGCCAGACCACGTGGCTTGTCCCATTCCCACAGGACGGAGGAAGGGTCATTAGTGAGTGTGTGGATACCTCGCTTTGCTGACCAGGTAAGTAACTGGCACCTAAAGATGCTTTTTTTAATTGGCTCAGCTCCAATCACAGGTAACCCTTTTTAGAAAGTTTGCCTTACAGCACTCTGTAAACAATACCTGCTGTGGCTAACCCAAAGAAATCGGAAGAGGATTTTTGCTTTTATGGAAAAAAAAGGCAAAAAGTGAATAGAAGAGTGCTCAGCATTTGTTTTGTAGTGATCTGATAGATGCGGCTGTGCCCTGAGCAGCGGGAAAGGGATAGAGCTAGAGTGGGGCCATCAAGCTCCCCCAGGAACTACAGTCAGCATCTCAGCATTATGTTGCCTTAGCTTTTAAAAAATCCTCACCCAAGCCAGTATCAAGAGAAAAGGAGTGAGGCTAATTTTTTCATTGATTTTTTTCTGTTTGTTTTTTTAGAGAGTGGAAGGGGGAAGGTAAGGGAGAGAGAAAATCATCTATTGGTTACCTCTCACACAAGTCCAGACAGGATGCAGGATCAAGCCTGCAACTGAGATACATGCCCTTGACTGGGAATCAAACCTGCAAGAAAGACCCTTTGGTCCAATGGCCAACATTCAAACCACTGAGCAGACCGGCCAGGGCAAGTTGCCAAAGCTTTGAGTATCTGTACTTTATCTTGATTTGTTGTGTGCATCATTAGTAAGATGTGTCCCGAGGTATTAGAAAAGTCTATGAGAGCACCCGGGAGTGTTACACTTGGTGTAAAACTAGACATAAGTACCCATATTTGGCCTGATTTGGTAGGTTATATTTTGGGGCTGAGAATGCTCAAATTTTTTTCTATATAAATTAATGGTAATTGCTTCCTGTCTTTATGCCATTTTGGCTAATGAAGGGATTCCTATACTAGGATAGCGTGGGAAACCACTGAAGACCAGGCTTTCATTCAGCCTTGGGTGTCCTGATGAGTAGGTGCCTCTGGTTTTACTTTGTTTCTAGTGTTTGGAGGTTAAAAATAACAGAAACCTATGCAGGGTGATGGGTGCTTAAGAATCTCACCCATCCAAATGCTCTGGGGAAATGGGAGCTGAATGAATGTGTGCTTGTTTAGAGAAGAAAAAAATCAGTATCCCGAGAACATTCCACATATTGCCTTCCTGTCACTCCTGGACTGGCCCGTGCCTCTCCGCTCCGGTTATGAAATAGCTTTTGGGTGATGACAGAGGTTAGCCTTTGTGGAGCAGCTTCCTTTTGCCAGATTCTGAACTCACGTGTCAGATACCATTATGCCCTCTTAGAGGTGCAGAAACAGGTCCAGAGAAGTTGTCCCATGCCTAATACATGGTGGAGGGCTAGGCCGGAAAAACGGAGCTGAAGGTTTTAGCATTGCAATTTGGGGAAGAAGCATAGGATGGGCTAACATGACTTCCCGGTGATTGGATTTAAAATAATGAGGAAGCAGAACTCAAAGCTCTCCACATCCACAACCACAACCACACTGCCCCTATAAAGGGCACTACAAGCCTGGCGCTTATCCCACAAAGAAAGGATAGTTGGAGAGGTGGGGGGTGGGGGTGGGGTCCCAGCTTAATGGCAAGCAACGAGAACCCCCTAGCAACTCTGTTATCTGGCCAGGAGGCCCCAAGCACTCCTGCCACTCCCCAGCCGGCCCCTCCAGCCTGCTGAACCTGCGACTTGAAATGAGCTCAACTTTCCAAAGAACATTTGTGAACTAATCAAATGAAGCCCGGCAGACCGCTCCGTGCTGGAGGTGTGTGCCAGATGAAAGCCGAGAGGACATTTTTAAGAGCCTTAAGTTTATTCATCGGAACTTTAATAAAACAATATGTCCATGGCCTAGGGCAGGTATAATTTTCATAATTTATGGGTCTCTGAGACAGGAAGAGAGCTCAGGGTTTTATTGTGTTTTGCACGATAAATGGCATTCCAATTGTCTACATGATGTTCTTTAAGGACTCTCGTCTGGCAGGAACACAGGCCTTCTGGAGCCCACCTGGGCCTCCAGGCCCAAGGCAAGGGATAATTATGAATACATCTGTATCTGTTAAGCAGGAGATGATTGAAAAACTCCCTCGCTTCCTTCTGTCATTAGGAGACACTTCCTATGCCGACACCTATACTAACATTTAACTGATGCGAGGTTTGGAACCCTCCCTGTTCCCTTCTCTCCCACCTTCTCCCTCAGGTCTGGTCTCTTTCTTTCCTGAACCTGAAGGGATTCCAGTAATGGACTGGCTGCCTTCCCATTGGGCATAGTGAGGGGGAGGGAG